TTATTATATATATATATAATATATTGCCTGTGCTGAGATCAAGAGGTTATCATTACGTTTCCTGTGCCAGTGAAGTTGAAAGGAATATGTTATATGTTACCAGTTGTATATTCTCAGTGAGTAATATATATATATATAATATATTGCTGTGCTGAGATCAAGAGGTTATCATTACGTTTCCTGTGCCAGTGAAGTTGAAAGGAATATGGTTATATGGTTACCAGTTGTATATTCTCAGTGAGTATTAACAGGAGGATTTCTGTTTTTCTCCTTCAGCACAGTGGAGACGGCAGTGGTTGACAACAGCGATGGGTCCTACAGCGTTTCATACACACCTAAAGAGCCAGGAGCCTTCTCAGTGTGGGTCTGTGTCAGAGCCCAGCATGTCAAGGTACAAAACCTACTCGCAACAACATATAGGAACAAGAGAAGGTTAAAATAGTTGAATATAAAGTTGGAATGAGTGTTGCCAACAGCTCACAGTGTACCGCCTCAGGGTTGCTAACATCATCCTGACAAATTAAATCAATGTGGGAAAAATTATCCTCAAACAAAAACAAATTAGTTCTGATGATAAATTTACCTAGTGGGATGCTTGGAAAATAAAAACACCCTGAGTTGTCAGAATGTGGTCACTTTTCTCTCTTTATTTAACTGTGGCTTGTGTCGACCTAGACATACTGACTGACTCTTTCCTGTCTGGCTCCGCAGGGCTCTCCGTTTATTCTCAACGTGCAGAGGAAGCTGAGGCGTCACAGTGGGACATTTCACTGCTGCTCCTTCTGCTCCAGCGGAGGAGCCAAAGAGGCTCGCTGTGGCTGCCCAGGAACCATGCCAGGTACACGGAAGAGATCATTAAAATGTCTGGTCAGAAGCACAGTTTTCATTCAGTATTTCACAGTGAACAAAGACAATAAAAATGGTACGCTTTGTTGTCAAGTTGGACATGGAGAGGGAACAGATGGAGGCACAGTATGGAACCAGGGCTCTTACTGCATTATTACTCCATTTTCTGTGCCTTTTGACTGGAATGACTTCTGTTGTTGAGAGAAACATGTTTTGTTATTATGCAATAATCTGATCTCTTTACTGTCCATGTGCAGTCCTATGTAGGTTCATCTTATTTATACAAACAGAGATGGTTAAAGGTCCAGTGTGTAACGTTTAGGAGGATCTTTTCACAGAAATTGAATATTCATTCAAGTATTCGTTTATTACACAGTGGCCCTTTTAAGATGCAATTAGAAAAAAGTGAATGCCACCACAGAAAAGTGGTATTTTGAGGAAAGAGGTGCAGTTTTCTCAATAAGAAAGTCTTACTGTCAGCATTGCGAATGTCAATGGATATATATGACTTTTACACATCTGTATATTCTGTCATTGGGACTTTTTACACATGTTATATGTCTTGTTTTATATGTATGTTTTGCTGTGTGTGGATGGAGAGAAAAGGTAGCTGTTACCTTAGTGGCAGTTAATGTGGATCCAGGAATAAAGAATAAACATCAGTTCTCTCTCCATCTAAACCTAGAATGTCCACAAAAGCAAAAGAGTGAGGGTTAAGGGAAAGGGAAAGGATGGATTTAAATATAAATTGCAAAAGTCTTCAGAGATTGAGGATGATATGCAACACTGTAAGAATATCTGAAAGAAATATTTCCCTTAGGTGTAATTAGAAAACTGTAGAGTTCTCTGCTCACGTCTGTCCTCATTTTGCTACCTGTCCACCAACAATAGAACAATAGTCCTGCAACACTAATGAGAGAAATGCGTGGTATGTGTTCCTGTGCAGTGCTGTGTTCTGGATAAGAAGTCCTATAAAACAGTATAATAAATATATAAGCTGTACTTCCAGGAGAGTTGAGTATATCAAGATGATGAACTGTCTTTTTGTGTGTTTCCTTATATGCTGACTATATATAATATACTGTGTATATATATATAATTCACTAGACTATATATAGTACTATATACTGACTTCACTTATGACTTAAAAACCCCAGAGTTGTCCCTGATCTCTACCTGTATGTCTGTCTGCAGGAGGATTCAAAGGTTGCGGCCACAGTCATAAAGGACACCCCGGGAAGCCCCACTGGTCTTGTTGCGGCAGCACCGTGGAGCAGTCGGAGTGTTTGCCTCAGAGCGTGCTGGCTGCAGTTTCCCCCCGCGGCCACCTGCGAACTGTGGAGCTGTGAGGTGACACAGAGACAAGACCTGTCAGGATGATGCAGGTTAATAAAGGATGGCAGCAACCGAAAGGTTAGAGCAGCTGGGGGAGGGAGCTCAGGGTTGGTTGCTGTAAATCCTGTGCAGACCTGACAAGGAAAGTGACACTCTAAAGACACAGAGACAGAAGCAGGACATCAGAGTGGCTGTGTCTCACCTCTGCCAGTGCCTAGTTGTGAAACAGCAGCTGGGCTACCATTAGAGACTAACATATAAGACCAACACAGTGTGATGTTATAAAGTGCCTTATTGCTCTAAGTTCTGCCTACCTGTGACAAGATAGAGGAGAAGGAAAATGTCTCCTCCTACATCAAATGTGTTAAAGGGACCTGGACCTTATTTTCCCATGCTTTTGTATCAAAGTGACTAATGGAGACAGCAAGTTTTGAATTTGGTCCAGTATTTAGTGAGAGTGGTTGAACTGGCTACGGCAGAATGCAAATTGGCACCAAATAGCCGCCAAATAGGCTGTAGCCTATTTGGCGGCTACAAGCTGCAGCGCTCTCCCTCAATACTGAACCAAATCCAAACCTGGACACAACTTTGACTCCAAAACATGGGAAAATAATGTCCAGGATGAAAAATACCAACATTACCCTTTGACAGCCCTGCTGAAGAGCACCTTAGGCAACAGAGATTTCTCCATTGTTACACTTTTCTTTCACCCGCCATCTCCCGGTCTCAAGCAACCTTGAAGCTGCTGCCGATTTCAAAGCTGCTGGAATCAGTGTTTTATATTTCAAACGTAAGACTGCTGCTGAACTCTAATACTTTTGTATCTTTTATATCCTTCAGTCAAATATCTTTTGAAATATAGTGCTATAAAAACAACAGTGATGCTCAAAGATATGGAGCACAATTCTTATCGATCCGCACTGATCACTGTTTCAAAGTACACAAAGTGCTGCAAACCCCTCAACCCATCAGGTCTATAGTCAGCATTTACATTCTCATCAGTGATGGTTTTATTTTGGATGGTACAGTACAGTAATACCAGTAATCATTCTTAGTATTGGTATGAAATATATGAATAAATCTAATTGTTTGCTATTGAGAAATTACGCAGTAATGGTACAATTAAAAACAAATATCTGAGTATCTAGAAATAAATCTAGTATTAACTGTTATTTCATGATATTATGATTATTATTATTTAGTTATTTGCTTGTACACATACTTACCTAGTTATTATGGACACAAACTGGGTGAGTTATGGGTTGATGGGGATATTTTACCAATAAATACAAAGTAATCACTGTTCAACTATTATTACTGATTATTTCTTTATGCTCACTTCAGGTATTACTATTACTATTTTGGAACAGTTATCACGGCATATTCACTTGTACAAACTGTGTAATCATTGTGTGTGTTATGTAGAAGTGGAATAACAGGTACTTGCTTTTTTTTTTTACCTGTAATAATCACCAAAACTTGCCATTAACTAACAAATAATACTATATATATACTGCACCTAATATAATATTAGTTTATAATACTATGAACTACAGGTACAGTAAATTATTAGTAAATATAATGCAATGAATTTATTCTATTGATGAGCTGAGTACACTGTTTGTGAAGACTACTGTTTCTATTGTCTTATTCAGGATAAGTGACCTGAATCAAGCCAGAAGCACTGAGCTACACTGTGCCTGTGAATTCACCCAGGACTGTTCTTGAGACCGTTGAGAATGTGAAACATATTCTAGTTTCTTGTAAACCACAACGTTTGGCCCTTGCTCTGTGCATACACATAAATCCTCAATGCTCATTATTGTTCTTAATGAGGAGAAAGTCCATGAAATCTGCACAGAATCATGTTTTTCCTTCATTAGCAACCCAACTCCACGTGCTTTGTGGGGAGCGGGGTTTCATCTGGGAAACACTGTGACCTAGAAGGTGCAGTCAGCCTCCTCTTAGAATACAAAGTTATTCCACTCCAGAGGCTGCGCCACAGCTCTGACTTAAAACCATAAACGTGGAACTCATAATGAACCACATAATACCTCTGTGTATTCTCTGTTTTCTGAATATGACTTATCTTGAGTGTGAGTGTAATATTTTTTATCACATACGATGTGCAGGTTTCAACGATGGATTGTAATACTGACCTATGCAAATACTTGACATGAGGACTAATCTTTTTTTATTTGTGGTCTAGGATCTTCAGAATGACAGGAAACACTGTGCATGTTGCTGCTGTTCACACTGTGTACATTGGAGTATTACCCAGTACATTTAAGCCTGTACAATCAAAATAAACACCCTTTTTTCTCAGTACTTGCTTTAATGCCCTACCAAGTGAACAAAAAATCCACCAAAGACTTTTTCTTCACTTTAAAAAAGTTATTTATTTGTGTCTGCAGACAAGACCATCTATTGATATCCGAGCACAGGGCAACAACATGAGGACAAAACCAAGACACATGCACATTAGCTCTGAGAAACAGCTGTCCTGTTGGAAGGATCTTTGAAATTGAAAATAGTAAGAATGACAAATCCAAATCAACCAATACACCTGCCTTCTATTGTAAATCCATGCATTTCTTCCCAGAAGAAAAATGTATATGGATAAATAATAATAATTAAATCACATTATACCATTTTTGTGTTTTTTGAGTGACTTCATAAGCCTGTATGTCTGTCCCTGCATGGTACTGCGAGAGAGAAGCTGGGTGAGAGACAAAGGAGAGACAAAGATTTAAGTCTGTGTCCGAATATCTGAATCCCAAAATGAAACACCAAATGCCTACCAAACAAACGAATAGTGAATATGTAGATACAAACTTTAAAGAGATTTAAGTGACTTCTGTAAATCAAACTAAAACTGTAAAAATGGGGAGGACAAAAATTTTAAAAAGTGAGAATACGTTTTCCCAACCTCTTCAGTAGTAATTACACATGACACCGTGAAACCATGAAACCTTCAGCATTAGATATATTGTAGCTAATTCATAGTGATTCATAGTGATTTGCAGTGGTGGAAAGTACATTTGCTCAAGTACTTTACTTTAATTATTTCCATTTTTTGCCACTATAAACTTTACTCCACTACATCTCAGGGGTAAATATAGTACCTTTTACTTTACTGCATTTATCTTTTATTTGACAGCTGAAGTTAGTTTTCAGTTAAAGATTTTACATTAGAAACATCTGGTAAATTAACACATTTTTTAAAAATTAAACCAGATGTTCTCAACCTTTTCAGTTTGTGATGTCTTTGTTAGCAGCTCCACGAAACTGCTCAGATATTTTCATTTAAATAATTGTTCAAGGCTTAAAGAGGTAAAAAAGTGAGTACTTTTACTCTTGATACTTTAACTACATTTACCTGATAACAGGTATGTACTTTTCCTTGAGTAGGAATCTGAATCCACTACTTTTACTTGTAGTGTATTTTCACACCGTTGCATTGGTTTACACAAGTAAAGGATCTGAATCTTGAATGAAATGCTTCATGAGAGCTTTTTGCACTTCATGGAGCTTGATATATCCTCTCTGAGCCACCAGGTGGCAGGAGAGAGCCACTTTTCCTCTGCCCACTCTTCCAGAACTAATGATCATGATCCGCCTGTGACATTAGTTTTTCCGTGCTTGTTCCTACAAATCATTCATAATCAGCGTTCTCAAAAGCCATTTTTACCGCAGCCATTCCCAGCTAAGAGGCTGCTGATGAATACTGCATTATCATGAAAAATGTCTTAAGCGCTTTAAGATTGACTCTCTTAATATGAATGTTTGATGAATGGGGACCTGTTCCACTAAAAGCCACCACACAGGAAGTTCCATCAGCAGGTGACACTGCTTAATCAAACACAGTAATTGTTCACTTACAGCAAATTGGAAGTGAGTGATTAACTGATGACCATTCAAATGGCAGTCAGCGCTGGGAGGAGAGGGGTCGCAACCGGAAATTGGAGGTCACTGCGGGCAAAGACACACACCTGCACACCTGCACACCTACACACACACACAAACACCTCCATTAGGTGAGGGCAGGTGTGAGTTAAAGATGATTGAGTGGTTTAGAACCTGCTTCTTTCATTGATTTCTCACTTCCTTCACTCCCTCGCTTCTTTCAGTGAAGTCAATCCACTAGGAACTAAGCCCGCCAACACACACACACACACACACCTACAACCACACACACACACACACATCAAATTGAACAATGACAGTGCACTGCACATGGCAGGATGCTCACCGCGGCTGTGAACCCCAGAGAGGAGGACTTCTGCCAGACCTCATAAAACTCCTTTACCCGCCATTGAGCTCTCGACTAATGTAGCTTGTAATTGAGAGAACCAACGGTCATGATACAATATTGTCTCAAAGGCGAGAGACATCTTTTCTTATGTTTAATCTTTTACATTTGGTGCTTTTTATGTTTTCATGGTTTGCCTGTTATGCTGATCCACAGGGAGTTATGGAAAG